TATAAGGGCTATTCCAAGGTCACTATTCTATTGCTCTACTGATAAGCTACAAGGAAGTGATTGAAGGAGATTATCCTACCCAGTAAAGGTTATGTCCTCCCAGCCTCGCTGCTTGCCTTCCCTGGGACTGCCCTGTGTCAGTGGGTCTCCAGGGGTATAGGCTTTGGTGCTTTCCCTGGTGGGCAGACCCCTGGGGATGCAGGCCCAACAAGTCCCAAATTTATTGCCAACAGTCATAAGTCCAAGTTCTTCATAAGTAGTACATGGTATTTCTGTAACACTAGGGGGTTAACTCCAGGGAAAAATCCCTACCTGGGGAAACAACCTTTCTCCGGGAGGTGGACCTGGTTAAAACACATAGCGCTTAAGAGGGGGGAGCAAACATATGTCATATATGCCAGGTCCCTTGAAACATAAGCTGTGCAGATGTTTCTTCCCTGCAGCGACTGCGTCAAGCAGCAAGGGTGGATCAGCTTCCAGCAGTTAAATTGTTTCATATGTCACAGATAAAATGGTGATCATATCTAAACCTTTAGATAACACTTTAAGTCCATATCTGTCTACTTTTTTTTGATAGACGGCCTAGGAAGATTACATACAAAACCTAATTATTTGGATATCTGAAAACTCTGGGCATTCAGAACAGAATTCGTCTTCAAACCTCATCAACATCTGGTGTATATGAGTCTTAATCTCTTATAATTTCTAGACAATAATTCTAACCAACAGAGTTAGGCTGTAGCAATTAAAAAAGAAAAATGCAAAGACCAGGGAAGATATCACTGAGAGAACTGACTTCATAGCCTTAAAAAGTGGCAGACCATTTATTAGCTATATGACTTTGGGAGTTAATAATCTGCTCTTTACTATGTAAAACATAGGTAATAACAGCTACTGCTTGTATAAAGATTAATAATGGGATATTTGGAATACATTTAAAATGTTATTTTAAAACCAATGTCACCCGAATAAATTTAACTTATTTTAAAAATGTAAAAAAAAAAAGTTATTTCTTATTTCTACTCTTTTCCTATATTTTTGGTCAGTCTAGACCTTTTTTGACTGTGAGGGAACAAGAAACACAGGATGTACATCTGTTCAAAGTATGATATATTTTTAAAATTTCAATCCCACGGGCGTTTCCAAGTCTTAGAATCCTGATGGGGCGGATGGTGGAGCTCTCCTTTGTGCCCTAGACTGGGCTGGGGAAAGAATACCAGGGTTCTGGGCCAGGCTTTGCCACATTTCTAGCTTCTCCACCTGCAACGAGGTCTTCATCGGCTCTTAGGGTACCTGTGGACATAGTTTTAGAGCCTCGATTCTCAAAGTTCAAAGTGTAGCGGAATCCACCTGAAGAGCTTGTGAAAACATGTTGCTGGACCTCACAGGGTAAGCCTGGGTTGGGGCTGGAGACTTTGCATGTCTAACAAGTTCCCAGGTGGTGCACGGAGGACTACACTCTGCAAACCACTGGCTTAAACTCTGTGGGATGCTCTTGCAAGAGCTGTTGGAAGAAACACTTGCCCCAAAATTCATCCTATATGGGGAGAAGCTTCTCATTCACTTAACAGATTGATTGAACACCTTTGATGGTCCAGGCACTGTTCAGGGCACTATGGCAAGAGCAGCAGCAGAGACAGATGGGGTTCCTAGCATAGACTAGGGGAAGAGTCAGATGTTTCTCAGATCATCATATGGCCTCAGAAGCGAGGCTGGCTGAGAAGTTGGGCAGCCCATGACCTCATCCCACAAGGTTCTAGGCTAGGTCTCCAGTCACTATACCACCTGCCTGCCTTTGCTCAGAGTATGCCCTCTGCCTAGAACACCCTTTCCCCTCCTACAGGACATGATCAGAGATTCCCCCATTCTTCAAAGCTCAGCTCAAATGGCACCTCATCCCTGACACCTTCTCTAACCCCAACTCCCAACACTTGTCTCTGTTCCTTGCTTGCCCACACTACTTCCTGTTCTTCCAGCCATGCCTTATGTCCCTTTAGGACAATATTTCTTTTTTGCCCATCAGGAAACTGAGGCCCAGAGTGGGGAGGTGACTTGCCCAGATGGAATGGGCAGGACTAGAATCCCAAGCCATCAGTCATTACCAGACTCCTAGAGAAGCTGCAGATGGCAACTGGCAAGAGTTCTCTGGGATGTGAGAGGCTGGGCCCAGGCCATGGGAGACAGCCTCTGTCAGAAATTCCTTCCCTCCAACTGCAGTCCCAAGGAGTAGGGCTAAGGGTATGGGTGGGGGTGGGGCTAAGGGGGCCCATCCTCACCCCCTGGGGTGGAAGCAGGCCCAGCTTGCAAATGCCTGGCATGGCGTCTTCCTGAGTCACATCCCCATAGGCAAGGGTGGGCATGGGAACATTCAGCTATCCCCCTACCCCTCTGCATAATTCGCATACTCTCCAGGTGGTTTTGGTTAGAGTCACAAGGGCTCTGAAATCACTGCTGTACCCCCTTCCCCAGTACTCATATGCCCTCCCTGCCTGGGGAGCTCACCCTGGGAGCTGCCCTCTCTGGTACTCTGGAGGCCAGGCAGGCCTCTTGCCAGTCTTCAGCCCTTGCCCAGCCTGCTCTGTGAGATGGAGGCCTGCTGGGGGCCATACCAGAGCTGGGAGGATCCTTAGCTGGGGGCCCTGGCACAGGCTGCCATTGCGGGGCTGGAAAGCCAGGTTGGCAGGGACACCCTGACTCAGGCTGACTCAGACTCTGCCTAGGCCCTTGCCCCACCCAGTGTCCACAGCTGCTGCCTGACTCTCCTCTGGGACCCACATCTGGCACACTCAGCCCCCCTCCACGTACACACCCACCATGCCACACACTGACACTCATTCTTCTTTACTCACAACTTGGCCCCTGCTCACAATTCATTATGAGGCAGTATAACAGTGATTAAGAGTGTGGGCAAGTTACTTAACTGCTCAAAGCCACTATTTCCTAATCTATAAATGAGTGTCATCATAGCACTGACTTCATAGAATATTTGAAGAATTCAATAAGATCATGAATATCAGCACCAGGCTCAGAGTTAAGTGCTCAATAAAAGCTTGCCGTTTAAAAAAAAAAAAAATTCAATCCCTCGATTCAGTAAATAAAGCATATATAACTGAACCTAAATTTTCACAAAATAGCACTTATGCAATTCTTTCTTCTGAATTCTGGTTTATTTTATTGAGAAGTAATAGTGTTTGAAAAACATTCCTCAAGTCTAAGCCATCTTAACTGAGCCTAGTGCCTATAGTTAGAAGAAATAAAAACATCTTATTTTAGGAGGCGAGGGAGCCTTTTTATCACCATCTTCTCTTCTCTAGGTTAAAGGCTACACTGGATATAACCATCATATGCTACCAAATCAGGGCTATTTGAGATGTATTAACACTGAATCTAGAAGTAGCTTCTTGGGTAGGTAATTAGCCATGTGTGAAATGAAGATAGCAAGACTTGAAAAGTCTCTCTAGAACTTGATAGTGTGATGAATATGTAGTGAAGTACTCTAATGTCTAATAAAATGGGGACCTTATATGTAAATAACAGTAGTGTACTGAAAAAATATAGCAGTATAGTATCCAGTAACATCTGAGACCTTTTTGAGATTTTATCATCAGTAATTAGATCTGAGGAAGTGGGTTCCTTAACACTGTACAGTCTTATGAAGCATAACAACTTTGTATATATAGCCCTGAGTAACTAGCAAAAAGAAAATATGTATGTTTTATTACATTCCTTATTGGAATAAACATTTAATTTAGGGAAAGAAACATTTTGAGATCTTAATATACAGTTTTAAAAACATCATTGTTTAAAATATACTAATTTGGGATATATTTGTCTATCTTTAGAAGGGGAGAGAGAGTGGATCCTTTGAAAACCGAATCATGTCATTCCTTGGCTCCACATTTTCGTATATCACTCACAAGAAAAGCTGAAGTCCTGTAATGGCCTACAGAGTCTGGTCCCAATCACTTCTCCCCCACCCCTTTACCTGCCTGGACTCCTGTTCTCCAACTATCTCATTCTACCCCAACTACCGTTCCCCAACATGACGGGCTCTCTCCCTTAGCTCCTTCAAGTCTCATTTAAAACTGCATTGTGTTCCGCCCCTTCTCCAACACACACACTTTCCAGCCTACTCTTGCTTTATTCCCGCCCCCCCGCCCCCCGAACTTATCACAATGAAATGTACTTTATAGTTTTTGCTTATTATCTGTCTCTTATCAGAATGCAAGCACCATAAGGCTAGAGGTATTTGTCAGTTTTTAAGCACGCTTGTACCTCCAGAGGCACCCAGGAAATAAATATATCTCCACGAATGAATGAATAAATTGTAACCACTACCGTATAATGGCGTTCAGTTCTTCAATGTGCTTTTAAAAATTTATTCCACAGGTAGAAATCACATGCCTGCTTTTAAAATTTCTTAATTTCTTTTCTTCCAGTTTGGGGGAAGTAAAATTAAAAAAAGGCGGCTCTGTTGTGATGGGGAGCAAGCAGGTAGGAATTTCCTTGTTTAGGGAGATGACGGGTAAAAGTCTCACCATGGTGGTCATGGAATCCACAGTATTGTACCCGTGGCCGCTAGATTCTTCGAGTCCAGACCCAGCCTGGTGTGGTAAGCGGCCAAGGAAGAAAGCCACAGACTATTTTCTTGAATGATCTCCTGATGCAACTGTGTTTACACTTCCCTGCCAGCACCCAGGGGGAGCTTTACGGTCACCAGACTCCTACGACCTCTACCGGGTTCCTAGTCCCCGGGCTCCGGGAGGGAGAGGGGCGGACGGGCGGACGGGCGGGGACCCACCCCTACCCACCCGCCCCGCCCCGCCCCGCCCCGCCCAGCCTCACCTGGCGGCGGCCGCCCGCCCGCACGCCCACGCCCACGCCCACGCCCACGCGCCGCACCCGGTTGGTTCCAGCGGCCGCAGGTGAGCCTCGGCGGGGCGCCACCTCCTCCGCCAGGAGGCGCGCGCCGGAGGAGGGTCCCGGCGGCTGCGCGGCGGTATCCCCCCGCGCGGGGGCGCTGCCACCTGCCCAGGGGAGGAGCCAGAGCGGGACCTGGCGGGTTTTTTTTTTTCAGCTCAGACGCCCTGGAGCGGGGAGAACCCGTCGGGACCATGAAGCGCAGCGGAGGCATTGAGAACCCGGCTTTCCTCAGCTCCAGCCCCCACTCCCCGCGCCGCGTCTCCGCCGCGCCCGCCAATACCAAGACGGAGACTTCGCGGCCACCCGAGCCGCCGAAGCACCCCAAGTCACGGGAGCCCCCTCCGCCTGCGGCTGCTGCCCCGGACTCGGGAGCGCGGTCCGGGCCCGAGTCGCCGTCGGAGTCTGAGGGGCCCTGCGGGTGGGGCAGCTTCAGACCCCAGTGCCTCCAGCTCTGCAACACGCCCCAGGGGTTCCTGGTGCACTACTGCCTCTTGGCCCTCACGCAAGGTAAGGTGTGGCCCGCTGCGGGGGGCGCGGGGCCGGGGGCGCGGGCGCGGAGCGGGGCAGGTGCGCGGGGTGAGGCGGCCCCGCCGCGGACTCGCGGGAGCGCCCACCCACAGTCCGCAGCTCGGCTCAGACTTCCACATTTTAGCTTCTCTGTTGTCGCTCAGACGTTTACAACTTTGCACACAGCATCGGCGCCTCGGCGTCCTGCCTCAGTGTAGCAGACTCGATCCCTCCAGGGGAGATGGAAGTTCTCGGAGCCTCCCTGTTGGAGGGGTTGCCCTGGGGGATTCCTTCCTTCTACATGACAAAAGTGTGCATTCTTCTAACCCTCCAATTGCAGGGATTTTTTTTTTTAAAACAGTTTCTGGAGCGGGAGGATTAAGAAATTTGCAGGTGAGGGTAGGGTGGTTCTCAGAGGAGGAAGCTTGTTGAGTATGTATAGTATCGGTTGGATATTAAGTTTTAATATTTTGTGACTATAAGGGTAGTCCAGTTAGCCAAGGTTTCAGGCGTTGTTGAAGGGTGGGGTCTTTCCTCCAGAGTGAGGCAGCCTCGGTTTTGTGGAAGCGTTTCTTTTACGTTCCCTTGGGAACGTAAAGGTAAAGCCCAGGCTTCCCCTCCGGGGTGGGCTGGGAGGAGTGAGCCGCAGGGTGGAGGAGAGTGGCTCCCTGGAAGGGAGCACAGAGAAGGCAGAAGCTGCGGGGTGGTGCCTCTGCTGCAGGGGATGACAGCAACGGGAGATGACACCCACACGAACGTGCCACAGTGAGGACAGGGAGGCATGGCGGTGGAGCATGTGAAAGGACAGGCTGAAGGTTAATTAGAATTTAACGGTGTGTTCATATTTTTCTTTTTTGTCACTTAAGTCGTAGTTTTAAAATATTATGTAAAGGAGGCAAGCAAGGATTGATCGAAACAAGTGTCTAAGAAACTTTGGTGGAAATTCTCTTTTCTAAGATTAACAGAAGAATAAATATAAACATACTTGCTCCCCCGTTTCAAAGGAACATAACGTCGCTTGCTGTGCACAAGTTAGGGTGCTAAGTATTTGTTGATTGTAAGTGGGACTAACTTCAGCTCTTCTACTAAAGGTATTTATTTCCCTTTCCACCTTTCTTGTCCCCACCAAAGTTCACCTTCTCTCAGTATCTTCATTCTAGTCAATTTCTTGATCTCAGTTGTCCAAAACCTTGAGGATATTTTTTCCATTGATTTTTTTTTTTTAGAGAGAGTGGAAGGGAAGGAGGGAGGGAGAGGGAGAGAGAGAGAAACACAATGTGAAAGAGACACATAGATTGATTGCCTCCTGCACATGCCAGGGGCCTGAATCGAACCAGCAACCCAGGTGCCTGCCCTTGACTGGGAATGAACCTGAGATCTTTCAGTGCGAAGGCCAATGCTCTAACCACTGAACCCACCAGCCAGCGCGGTTTTTGTCTTGAAGGAAAGATTTCAATCAAGAAACAAAGTGTAGATAAAAAGCAAGCAAGAATTTATTGATCACAGCAAAAATTTACTTAGATCAGTGTAACAAGGGCACAGAAGAAGCAGCAGGAGAGCCTCAGGTGGGCTGCTTTGGCTCATTGGTGAAGCAGAATTTTTGGACTGGAACCCGGATTCTTTGTCTGCTGGGGTCGAAGAATGAATCCACAGACAGAAAGTAGTATAGCAAAGGTGGAGATTTATTGAAGAACAAGTATAGACTCCCACATGGGGACAGGGAAGGAGTCCCACAGAACGGACCCCCACGCGGGGAGGGGGGAGAGGGTCCCACTGAGTTCCTTTTCCTTACAGCTTATAAAGGCTGCAGATCTTGGTGCTTTGATAGCCCCTCTGATTGGTCACTATTCCAGACTAGTTACTATAGTAACTCCTGGGCTCAAAGGTCCAACCTCATATGGTCCCTCCTTTCTTAGTGTTTTCCTATACCCTTTGCGCTTTCTTCTTCTCCTTCTGGATGAAGGGCTTCCTTCTCTTTATTTTGTAAATAGAGACCTTCTGCTGTTCCCAGCTCCCCCATTCTATGGATATGTACCTGTTGCAGCTTTTCAGCTCCCCTATTCTATGGAAATATACCTTCTGCTATTCTTCAGCCCTGTGCTTCTTCTATGGTCCTCTTAGTTTCTACAATTTCCTAAAATCTGTCTTTTTCACCCCCCAATATTCCTGTTTCACTGGGAAGTTAGAGAAAAGGGGGCCTTGGAGACAAGTTCTGGGGGTTAGCCCAGGATGAGCTGCTGCTGCCATTGCTTCCCTAGTTGTAAGTCTTTTTGGGTCCCTTAGAGTTTAGGAGATAAGTGCCTGTGGGGAAAGGATAGGGGGAAGGGAATGGCCTGGGCGAGACCCCTGAGACCTTCCTTTTCAGGGGTTTTAAAGGCAGGGCATTTAGGGGGGTCTTAGGGAAGAATCAATAGAATATTCATCAATTTAATGCTGATGTACCAAAATGAGATTGATTCTCTTAATTTCTCTGTCCTTGGTTGTGGTTGGCCAAAGGCACTAATTGGATTTCTGTTATTTGTCTCCCTGAGTAGGTTGATTTAAGGCAGGGGTCCTCAAACTACGGCCCGCGGGCCACGTGCAAATACAAATATTGTATTTGTTCCAGTTTTGTTTTTTTACTTCAAAATAAGATATGTGCAGTGTGCATAGGAATTTGTTCATAGTTTTTTTTTAAACTATAGTCCGGCCCTCCAACGGTCTGAGGGACAGTGAACTGGCCCCCTGTTTAAAAAGTTTGAGGACCCCTGATTTAAGCTATAAACCATTTAGTCTTAAGTATCCTTGGTTTAGGGAAGATAGGATTTACTATGTGGCTGTAAACTGCTGTGCAGCTATCTTAGTTTCCCTATTATGCTTGTTCTGGAATTTTCCTAGCTTCTTATTCTATAACAGTTGGCCATAAGTAAAAAAATTCTTGTGTTTTACCTTAAAACGTATTCTAAAATTTCTATATTATTCCAGATGACATAATTTTATATTTAATATAACACTTTAAAAATTATTATAAAATATAATTGTCATTCTTAAAACGTGTTTATCCTGGAGCTACATCTACCTGGAGGTCCCCACTTTATTACCATGTTTCTCAAACATCCTTGGGAAGACCATTTCCATTGTATATGAATACGTGTTTAATTGCAGGAGAACCCCAAAACTTATTAAGTGAGTTTACTTAACCCAACATTTCTCAGAGATAAACAGGATTTCTCTTAGAACTTAATTTCCTAACGTACTTCCTAACTTCAAGCATAATATGCAGTATTTCATAGATTTTTTTTTTTTTTTTTTTAATAAAGCAGAGTTCTTGGAACTTCTGTAGCATAAAATTCACATTCGGATTCATAGGCTTAAAGTGCCATACTTCCATAAGAGTTTACAAATGAACTTTTTCAGAAAAGTTCTATCATAAAGGCAAGGAGTTCAAATGATTGACTTTTGATCAGTATGGCAAATATGTTGGGAAGCTGATTTTTAGATGAGGAAATTTTCATATTCTTATCTCCTTATACTAGTAAATATGTCATTCCTAGGTACTTTAGATACTTTATTTTACATTGACATTTTAGTAATTGTAATTTATTTATAGACTGGCATACAAGTATTTTAGAACTTTTAGAAACTTGTTATCAATTTTCTTGATAAAGAAAAATTTTTAAAAAATTACAAATATTATGACTTCTGTATACTTTTCCTATTAATAAATAAACGAAAACAATTCATGATATTCTCTTAAGTAAAAGGGGTAACTAATTAAACACTTTGTAAATTGGTCAGATGCCTTTTCTTTCCAATTTATAATAATGTATAAACTAAATTTAATCGATATTTGGACAGGATATTTTTGTCATCAATCAAAATTGGATTTTCAACTTTTACTTCTTTACATTATATGCCTCCATCCTAGTTATAATAAACAGATGAAGTGTAAGGTGTTTTTTTTTTTCTTTTACTTTACCTATGATTTAGAATCCCAGTGGTTGAAATAATGCTCTTAATTTATGTTTACTTTTAAAAAATATATTTTTATTGAATTCAGAGAGGAAGGTAGAGGGAGAGATAGAAACAACAATGATGAGAATCATTGATCGTCCACCTCCTGCACGCCCCCTACTGGGGAATCGAACTCACAACCCGTGCATGTGCCCTTGACCCAAATTGAACCTGGAAACCCTTCAGTCTGCAGGCTGATGCTCTCTGTCTCCACTAAGCCAAACTGGCTAGAGCAATTTATGTTTACCTTTGATCCAGGACCTTTAACTTTAATATCTTCAAGAGCATCAGAAGGAAAAAGAGGCTCGAGAACTCAATTTCAACTTTCAACAACTTAAGTCAAGGATCTCTTGTGATGTATAAATACTGAATAACTTGGGAAGTGTTTGAGCATTACTCAGATGACCTCCGGAATCAGCTGTACTTTTTGTACTCTTCTAAGTCAGGGCGGTGAAAGTACGAGTGGAAACTGGCAAACTGGCCTCGTGAGACTTTACCAGTCTGACTTTTTGATTGTTATTTAAAGAAAAATGAAGTTAGCTACAATTTAGGATGTGGTAAGCGTCAATTTTATTTAACACCTGAAAATTCCCAGTTTACAATTTAAGAGCAAACTGATTTTATAAGCAGGTATGTTTAGGGTTGCCTCCCTTTGAAACCTTGAGTCTTTTAAAATTGGTACATTTGAAAATATCAAAAATAACAAACAACCAAACTTTAGTACATTGTGCTAATAATCATAATCTATATGGTAAAGTTGTAATAATGCCATATTTTTTTTTTTCTCTTTTAGGTGTTGTGGTAAATGGCCTAGTAAATATTAGTATTTCCACTATTGAGAAGCGCTATGAAATGAAGAGTTCCCTGACCGGCCTGATATCATCAAGCTATGATATTGCATTCTGTTTGTTGTCTTTATTTGTTTCATATGTTGGCGAAAGAGGACACAAACCAAGATGGCTTGCATTTGCATCTTTTATGATAGGACTGGGAGCACTTGTATTTTCATTGCCAAAATTTTTTAGTGGAAAATACCAGTTGGGGTCCCCTTTTGAAGGTAAGTTTCTGTTGTGTTTTTGTTTATTTTACTTTAAGAAGGAGCATGAAACTAGGCCATTAACTATATATTGCACCTCACTTGTACAGGTAAGTAGGGTAAGGTCTCTTCTACTGCTCACTGCTTTGTCGTGATGGGAATTGTGTGAAGTAGATTACAGAGAAAGATTGTGCATCAGACATCACTTCAGTGGTTCCAAACTTTTAGTCCTCTGATACTCTTTCCCCATATTATACACAGAAAACAATGACCTATTTTTCTTTGAGGTTGTGACCTCATTGGAGTTTTAAGATCTATAGTTTTTCCCTTGGTTTTATTTGCTGTGCTTACAGCTCTGTACTCAGACTTGTTTATTCCTGATTTGAGATAAAAAGAGGTGAAATTTATAGAACTTAAGCATTTCCCAAGAACTGAAGGATTTGAGTCCCTGGAGGAGGAAGAGAAAGTGTTTTTCATAAACTCATTATCTGGGACTGTTTTCTAGCTGTGGGAAGGGACTATGTCATCCTTAGGCCCCAGTGTGTGGGGGCAGTGCAGACTTGATTGTACAAAATATGTTTTATCAATGTACTATTCACCTGCAAATAAAATTGGTAACAGACACTTCCACACAAAAAACAGAGTCCCCAGAGGCACAGAATTTCAGGAGTTTTATAATGTGCTGTTCAAGTTAGATGAAAAAGCATTATTCAGCATCTCAAAAAGATTTGATTATTTGTTTTTCTTTTTTTTCTCTGAAAGAATAACTTTTAATGGAAAAACAATTATGGTATTGCCAGAGGAATGTACTAGTGAAAGTAGATGTTAACATTTCTATTGTCCTTCCTGGCATCTTAATCGTAACATAGAATAAAATCAGAGGGCTACCAAATCAGAAGCTTTCAGGGCCTGGGTAAGTGAAGAAAAGCCTTAGAGTAAAAAGAAAGGAGAAGTTGGGGCTGCTGCAATATAGGCATTATTTTTTAGATTGTTATGTTTGTGAGAATTAATATTAAAAATTAATATTAAAGTGTTAACATTTCCTAAGACCAAATTCCCAATTATAGAATGACTAGAGGCCTGGTGCACAGATTCATGCACATTGAAAGGAAATTAATTAGAAGGTGGCCGGCGGGGCGGGGCTGGGATAGACTGACTGGGCATGCCCTGGAGCCAATGTCCAGCAGTCCCTCCCCGGCCTGGGGCGGCACCAGTGCTCAAAGGGCTTCTGCAGAGTCTAGTACATTATCTAAGATTGGACAAGATTTCATAAAGGTGACAACATAATTTCACTGGGGTAGTTTTAGAAACAAGGTATATAGGCTTTAGTATGACACCTTTGAAATCTTTAACAGTAAGGGCAAATCTAAATTTTAGTCTGTCACACAAGAAACGATACTGATTCTATGATGGTAAAAATATTACAATGTTTATAGCATGTAGGAGGTAACCTTTGTCCTGAATTTAATCTCTCACTCTTGTAGTTGTCAGATGCCCTACTTGTTCATGTAGGACACAAACTTTGATAACAAACCTCTTACTCTCTAAACCATAATCACCTATTCCAGTACAAAAGCCTGATCTGTCCTCAGCAATCTTCTTAGCTTTGTCTCTTGCCACATGCACCCAGAGTTGCGGCCTATCTGAATAATTTATATTTCCCACAGGGAAGTGATTACAAGTTAAGGTATGGGCCAGAGATGAAGCCAAGAAGATTGCCGAAGCCAGATCATAAACTTTTAGTACATTATTGTATACTGTGTAAGTTTTCACCAAATTCTTACTGATATTTTTTCTTATGTTAGCTGAAGTAGGTTAGATAAAGGTATTGGCCAATCTATAAAATTTTTACTCTAAGACTCTTAATTTAAATAATAACTTATCTGTGGCAAATGAAAGCAAGAACTCAGGTTGCCCTTTTGTTAGTCTGTCATCCATGTAATAAATATTGGTATGAACTATATGTTGCTGGGAAAATAGCAGTGAAATGGTTGATGCTATCTGGATGTTATGTAGTAGTGTGAAGAAATAGAAAATTAAGTAAACAAGATAAAGATTGAGGTGAGTGTATGAATGGAACAGATAGTATGAAGTAGTAGTGCACAAAAGGAAGAATATGTGGCAAAGGGAAGGCTATTTTGATAATAACTGGAAATGAGGAACCAGCCTTGAAAGAAGCTTACCAGCCTGGCTGGCATGGCTCAGGGGTTGAGCGTCAACCTATGAAACAGGAGATCACGGTTTGATTCATGGTCAGGGTATATGCCCAGGTTGCAGACTTAATCCCCAGTATGGGATGTGCAGGTGGCAGCCAATCAATGATTCTCTCTCATTGATGTTTCTTATTTCTCTCTCCCTTCCTTTATGCCAGTGGTTCTCAACCTTCCTAATGCCACGGCCCTTTAGTACAGTTCCTCATGTTGTGGTGACCCCCAATTTCATTGTTACAAATTGAACATAATTAAAGCATAGTGATTAATCACAAAAACAATATGTAATTATATATGTGTTTTCCGATGGTCTTAGGCGACCCCTGTGAAAGGGTCGTTCGACCCACAGGTTGAGAACCTCTGCTCTATGCAGTCAATAAAAAAATATATTTTACAAAAAGATGCTTTCCAGGATGGGGAAAAATATGATCAAGGGCCCTGGAACAGGAAAGAGTGTGGCAGGTTTTATGACTGTCAGTTTTGTCTAGCATGATTAAAACAAGGGAGAACATGGCATGAGATGAGCTTGGACAGGCAGGTAGAGGCATGGGTTTTCCTTTAAGTGCAATGGAAAGTGTGAGAGAGAGAGTTTTACACAGGGAAGTGCATGGTCTTATTTAAAATGATCATTTTGGCTTCTGTGGTTCTGAAGGGTAAGATTAAGTGGGAAGAAATCACTCCGGTGGATTTTACAATAGTCAAGGTGAGACACAGGTGGTTGGGACTGGGTTGGTAGCAGAAGAGATCTAGAGGAGTGACTGATTTTCAATGTATTCTAAAGGAAAAAGAGATTGGACTTTCTAGTGGATTGATTGTGAAGGAAGAAGGAAGAATGACTCTTTGATATTTGCCTTGACCAACTGGGTCCCTTTGCTAGAATGTGGAACACTAGGTAGAACAGCGTATTATATAGCTGGTGTTGTAATATATATCTGTGAACACATGTTTATGTAAATGTGCAAGTCATTCTTTAGTCTCTATTCCTAGAAGTGCAAATACTGGGTTTGAAGGGCTTCCTCATTCTAATTTTTCATAATGTCACATTGACTTTTAGGAAGAAATATAGCAGCTACTCTCCCATAGTCAATATGAAAATGCCCAGCTGCTATTTTGAGTTTTTACATTATTTTTTCCTGAAAAATTTCTTTAATGGAAATATCAATATGGTATGTATGTGCAGGTGTTGACACTGTACCAGATACCAAACTCAGGACTGAAGTTGCATTATATATTTAAAGGAACTCAGACATTTAGGAATATAAGAAATGTTAGAAATCATAAATCCCTTTTTTTTGCAGTGTAGAACCTTAGGATAAGAGGTGAAGTGACTTAAAAGTGGTTTCATAGATGGTCAGTAACAGCCAAAACTAATACTAATTTTTATGCTTTGCTAAATGTTTTCTAAATTGTTATTCGTAGTAGGTTTTTTTTAAAAAAATATTTTATTGATTTTTTACAGAGAGGAAGGGAGAGGGCTAGAGAGTTAGAAACATCAATGAGAGAGAAACATCGATCAGCTGCCTCCTGCACATCCCCCACTGGGGATGTGCCTGCAGCCAAGGTACATGCCCTTGACCGGAATCGAACTTGGGACCTTTGAGTCCTCAGGCCAATGCTCTATCCACTGAGCCAAACCGGTCAGGGTGGTAGTAGGTTTTTTTTTTTTTAACTATATTAATTTAGATATTTTTATGATTTAAACTATTTTTTCCCCAATTACAAATAGCCAGTTATAATTGTCTTTACTTTATTATTATTTTTTAAATCTTCACCCTGGGATATGCTTTTATTGATTTCAGAGAGAGGAAGTTGGGAGAGATAGAGACAGAGACAGACAGACATAAGAGAGAGAGAGACAGAGAAAGAGAGAAAAACATCTATTGGATCAGTCCTGCAGCCTTCTGTTGTACAGATGATGCTCCAACTACCTGAGCCACCTGGGCAGGGCTGGTCTGTGCTTCCTTTAAAACATAATTGTCTGCTCAAGTGAATTAATCTGTTTTTGCAAAAATGGGATCCTATCACCAAAATCTGAATTATTCAGTGTAGAAGAAAACTGAAGATTGATGTGGGAAAGGAAACAAATTAGTTGGAAACTTCCTGTGGATAAATTAGAAGTCAGGGAATGTACATCTGCTTCGGCAACATAATATAGTCTAAAGAGCATAACATTGAGAAATTATTTTATTAATTAAATCATACATGTAACTTAGTTTGAAACTGTCATTGAAAGAATTAACATATTCCCTGTGTGCTTTTTTTTGTGGCCGTTGTATTTGAATAACCAAAAGTCAGGCCTCAGTTTGGGTGAGATAATTTCTGTAAGAAGAGATTAAAGTAATGTAATATAGTTGGTAAATAGAAGAAAACAAAATGTGAAGTATGATACTCATTGAAATTTCCACAGGTGTGAGAACACAAAAGGAGGTTAGGACTTAGCAAAAGGTAGAAAAGTGTGTTTGGAAGCAGTTTGAATTTTCTGTTTTGTAAAAAAATAAATTTAAGTACTTTTGGAAAATATTTATTTATTTGTCACCCAAGACATGCTTTTTATTGATTCTATAGAGATAGGAAGGGAGAGGGGAGAAGAGAGATAAAACATTGATGTGAGAGTGAAACATCAATTGGTTACCTCCTGCACAGGCCCCCATTGCACTGCAACCCCTTAGGTATGTACCCTGACCATCAAACCTTGGACATTTTGGTGGATGGGGACACACTCTAACCAACTGAACCACACGAACCAGGGTGGGAAAGTATTTTTTAAGGGGCGCTTTTATGGAGATACAAGGGTGAGAAGTGATTATCTTA